GCACAGAGAGAAAAAACTCCATTGGTCCAAGGGCAAATTCTTTGACTGCTACTTTTGATGCCTGCTCAACAAGAAGAAAAAGATGTTTGGCCTGAAAGACAAACCACATGAACAATCTCTAAAACTCAAACATAAAAACACACAATGATTTCAAGAATTATGCTGTACACATGCAGATACTTAACTGATATTCAGAGACAAAAATACTAGACAATCTTTCTCCCATTAACTTCTCAATATCTATCTGTGCACTTCTATGGTGGTGACTAGAGGAGCGGCCTGAGCGAGTGGACACCACCACTCACTACTGGAGGCTTCTAGAGTGCACACACACTGCCTGTATAGCAAGGCAACTAGACAGTCGGCCACAGTTTTATTTTTGTTTCAAAGCAGAGTTTCTTATTTCTGCTTTTATATTGCGTCAGCTTTGGGGGCTTTTGATCACACATTTTTTTCTTGAGGTGAGAGTTTTTTCTCCCTACATTACCCAAGAAGAGTCAGCAATCATGGCCTTATAGCCAACCTACAAGCATACCTCATAATATTTCACCATTGAGACAAGAGACAGTAACAGCTGCTAACCATTACATGCGAAAAGGAAAGCCTATCTTCAGATCATATCTACCAGGAGACACTCAGTAAGCTTAATAACACAAAAACAAACATCCATTTAAGCATTAAAACCCACATACCTATTGGAAATGGCAAGCATAAGATTTCAAACACAAAAAATGATCTCAAAACATATCCAAAACCAGAAAAGAGTAACTGAGACAAATGCTCTGAAGACAGGCAAAGGCTCCCCAGAAGAGGAAGAGCAGGTTTTGGATTTGCCTGAGAAAGAATTCAGAATGATGATATGGAAACAAATTCAAATGCTTCTAAAAGGGGTGGAGGAAAACAAGGAAGAAGTCAGGAGAGTACTACAAGAGAATCAAACAAGATTGATACAGAATTGGAAACAGTTCAAAACCTGCAAAAGTGGTCCAGATCATTAATAATAAAATATCAGAAATGGACAATATATTGGAAGGGGAAAGGAGCAAAATTGAAGAGATGGAAGCCAGAACTAGCAAGCTGGAAGACAAATATCTCAATAATGCTAAGATAGAAGAACAAGCTGAAAAAAGGATAAAAAAATCTGAAGAGAGTCAAAGATTCATGCAGGATAACATGAAGTGGATGGAGCTCTGGTAGCTTAGTGGTTATGAATCGGGCTGCGACCTCAAGGTCAGCAGTTTGAAAATACCAGCGGTTCCACTAGAGAACGATGAGGCGTTCTTCTCTCATAAAGATTTACAGCCTCAGAAATCCTATGAAGTGTCACTATGAGTCAGAACTGACTCCACGGTACTTAACA